CACCACTGAGTTTGGTGGGTTTGGGTTTATTATAGAGGTGGTTGCAGAAATTAATGTGCTTTGTGGTAAAGGGAGAGGAGTGCAAACAAACTATGGACAGAGAGTGAAGCTTGAGGGGATGTTGCCTTGGACAACATGGCACATATGAAAAGGGAACGTGTTATGAAGCAGAGAGGACTGTGCTGGTCCTTTCAGCTCAAGCACTGAACATTGTCATGTCGGATCCAGCTGCAGCAGAGGGATTGGCCTCATGTTGCCATCCAGATATCCATCGGGCAGGACTCATGGCCAGCCACTGTGAGAAATCCCACCTTAGCCCATTGCCACCAAGCTGGCACAAGCAAAGATGCGCTCGGTGACAGGAGTCACATCGAAGTTGGAGTGGACACCCCACACAAGGTTCTGCTGGTGTGGGTCAGACCAAACCTTCTCCCAACACTCTCATTTAACACATTCATTTAACTTGGCACCTCCCAACACTCTCATTTAACTTTTCTAACACAGGGTGAGGAAGAGATGGCTGCTCCTGGGTAATTCCATGCACCAATGGATTTACACCACAAGCTCCCCAGGAGAGGAGGTTCTCTCTGGGCAGTGCATGGGGGATGCTTCACCCCATCTCCTGGCTCAGTGACCCCCCTCTGCTGAGCCGTGCTACCTTTGCTACTTCTCCCAGTGCAACCTCAAACAAGCGTTGGGTATCTTTCCTTCTTGGTAGCATGTAGGTCACTGCAGAGCCTTAGGGACCTGACAGCTGACATCCATCCTTGGTTGTGAATCTGTGCGTCAGGCTTTCTGGAGGCGATAGAAGTGCAGTTGCTGGTGAGACCAGCTGCCTTTTGTGTGGCTTCAATTAAATGTCTTGGCATGGGATAGTTGCCAGAGCTCTTTTTTGTTGAAAGAAATGGTTTTATCTAGATATATATAGAAAAAGTCCCACCTGGCCTTTTGGAAGGGTTTCAGCTGGAATGTAACAGATCCCATATTCTTCTATAAAAAGGTGAGCTGTATTTTTCAGCTGAACTTTTTTCCCTTTTATAGCTGTAACTTGGCACACACGAGACATAAGCGGTACAAGGTCACTGCCCTTCCCCAGATGAGGAAGTAAAGCCATGGCACGTGCTGGGGGCAGCTGCTGAGGACATGCCCAGGAAGAACACAAGCTGTGGGCTGACCCCTGAGACCTGCTTGATGTTTGGGTCTGTGTAGGAGCACTGGGGTGGCTCAGAGACCCCCAAAAGACTGCTGCAGAGCCTACCCAGCCGATGAGATCCCTTCACAGCCATGACCTTGGGTCATGCTTGGTCTTCACTGCTCTTTCAACCCAGGTTAACAGCAGCTTTCTCTCTATTTTAACAGCAGTGTAAGCATGTGCAACAGGTTAGAACAAGGCAAGCAGCCACCGTTGCCTCTGTTTTCTTTCTTCCTGCACCCTCTTAAATTTTGGTTTCTCAGATGATGTTTTCCAGACCTGGGTGTTCTCCCTCATGAGCCATACTTCCTGGTGCCCTTTATACCATGATGGTGTGCTTCAGTCCCTGCTGCCGTCTGTGGAGGAGGAGGTGGGACAAGCCATCAGCTCTTTGCTGCAGTGTTATATTGCTTGACTGCAGGCATATTTTAATTAATTAATATTTTTATCAAGATTGCACTTATTTTTACAATGCATTTACTTATTATCAAGTGTGCAATCTCTTCCCAGCCCCAGCTAGTGAAGTGACCTGCCCCATCTCATCCAGCAGGCGATGCCAGAAATGCTCCAGGAGCCGCAGCATCTTGACCCACTGTAATATTTCCATGAGAAAGTGGGGAATGGGGATGAAATAAAGTCCAAAGAGATGTAAGTCACTTGGTGAAACTGTGGTATTGCTGGTGAATTCCACAGGCCTGAGCAAGGAGGGATTGGGAATTCCAGGGGTGCAGGTGACCACGATAGGTGACGAGTCCTCATGTGCTGAGAGCTTGGCCATGTGGACAAGCTCATTTTTGTTTGGTGTTTTTTATTGTGCTGTAATTAATATGGAAATTGTCATATATGCCCAGGCAGGATGACCACACATCCCTGTGCTTTTACTGACCCTGCTCTGGATCTGGGATGTCCCTGGCTCCAGCTGGGAGTGCGAAAATATGCTTTAAATCCTCTGCTTGCTGCTCCCAGGTTCTCCCAAGCACAGCCTTTAAATGCTGGGCCATCAACTGCTTGATTAATTAATGCTCTTCTGTTTCACTTGTTTGACACTGATGTTCAGTGATGTGACTGAAACTCACCTCCCAGGGCGGAGACAGTGTCATGCACTGAAAGGGGCTGGACGTGTATTTTTAGTAAAACAGTATTTTCAGCTCAGGATTTGAAGTTTCTGGTCATTTCCTTGTCCCTTTCTGAGTCACACACCAAGTTTTTTTTCTGTTTATTGCAGATGTTGAAGCTTACAATAATCTGGAAGTTAAGTGCTCAGCTTTTGGAGGGAAAAGGAAGGGACCAGCAGGATGAGGTATCTCATCGGCACCAGGCACATAAGCTTATGGCAAAACTTCCAGGTAGCTCCAGTTTATATATATTATGATAGAAATAATGTACTGAAAAGGCACATGGCAGGATTTAAGGCCATTCCATATTATTGCTTGGCTCATCTGAAAGAGGTGAGAGATCAGCCCTCTTTTCCTGGTCTGGAGATGAGCACAGCAGGGCTGTCTATCTGTCTGTCCCCCAAGGCTCTGCTGGCTCGTGGCACCAGAGGGGCCAGGGGCTGCAGCACTCACGGTGAGCCAGAGTGCCCTCCTTTGCTGCTCTTCAGCAAATATTCCTCATGTGGCTTCTTGCCTCTGCCTGCAGGCAAGGATTTAAGCCAGAAATGTTGTCAATTGTGTTTGTCCTGCCAGTTTCAGCTCACCTTGGAGGTGTCAACCCTGCAACGGTGTTTAACCTGCAATGCATCTGCACAGCCTCCCCAGCAGGCTACTGGCACACTGGGCTTGTGCTGCAGTGCTAGAAAGGAGCAATGTGGCTGTGGTTTGATGTTTCCTTGCCCTGCTTTGTGCTGGAGCAGACCTGTATCCCCTGACAGGACCCACTGTGTGGGAGGATGCTCGCTGTTGGAGCAGAGGAGCTGCCGAGAAAACTCTGTCCCAAGCTCAGCAGCACCAGTTTGCTGCAGGCAGGAGCAAGCTGAGCTCTCACCATTAGGCAACGTGTTCTTCCCGCTCCAGTGGGTCTGTGCTTAACCCAGCGTCAGTCAGAGGAAGAGGACACGTGTGGGGACAAGTGTGTGTGGTAATGCAGGACCTTCCCAAAGTGTCAGGCTCTTGTGCTGGAGAGAACCAGACAGGCTGTCGGGAGCACTGAGCATCAAAGACACCAAGTGGCTTCCGGAGCTTCAGGGTTGGGTTTCTTCTCCCTGGGGGTGCATCCCAGGGCATAAAGCCCCCATTTCTGACCCATGGAGTCCACTGCCTGAGGATAGGAGCAGCAGGGATACAGGGACTGCATGGCAGCAGAGCTATCCCCACATGGTGCTGACTGCCTGTTCAGTCACTCACCCCAGCTTTGGGAGCACCAATTTTTGCTGGAGGAATGTGTGGGAATCCCTGCAGAGCTCTGGGTTCCCCCACTTGTCCCTGGGGACTTCAGAGCCTGTGGGATCATTTTGCATCCCAAAAGAGGATTTCCCACTGGCTCTCTGAGAGCAGCACATCCAGCTACCTCCTGTCCTCCTCTTGGAGGAACAACAAACTTGACAATGAAAATGGAAGCTGACAACAGCACTAATTGCTTGAGAGAGATGGTGTGGAAGCCTGGGGCCATGGGGATGGCATATCAGGGTTTTAAACCTGCAGCTGAGTGCCCAGTGGGGTGTTTTGTCAGCTCAGAAGGAAGATGGGAGCGGGCTGTGCGCTGGGCCAGGGAATACACTGCACCAGTGGGATTATAGAAGCAGCACAAGTTGAGCTGGTAAATTATAAAATGCCATGCTTGAGGTCTGTTACATAATGTGCCTTTACAGAACCTGGGAGCTAAATATAAAAGAGAGTTACGTTTTGGGCTGGTGTAAAACCATGCTCCAGAGCAGGTTTGTGTGGGAAGGAGTGCTCTGCAGCACCGCAAGAAGCGGAAAGGATTTCGGGACCCTTGGTTTGCTCCCAGCACTTGTTTTCTCTCCAACCTTGCAAAAAGCATGTACTGCCCGTGTCTCAGCTTCCCTCTCTTCAAATGAGAAACAATAAACCTCCATTTCCTTGCAGCTGCATTGTCAAGATTAATTCGTGTTTGCAAAGTGACCTGAGAATCTATAGAAATCTGAACAGTATATCATTATCCCGATCTAAACTTGGCATAAGATACCAGCAGGCCAAATTCTCCTCCCACGCTGGAGGAGAAGGGGTTGTGTCAGCATAGCCGAGAGGAAAATTCCAGCCTCTGTTCCTAACCAACAAATCCAGAGGAAAATAGCCTTTTCAGGCTGAGACCATTCTGTTTTCCTTGAGGAAATTCCCCCCTTCATTAGCTCTGAGCAGAAGGATGAGCTCCTACACAAACTGGGCAGGTGACAAAGCCAGGAGCATCTCCCGTGCAAAATGCAAACAGGAGCAGAGCAAAGTAGAAATGCAGAGGGATGCTGTATGTGTTGGGATCCAGCCTGCTTGGCAGTGATTTGGGGCTGTTTTGTGTTTCCTTAGCTCCTGCCCTTTTCCTCTTCAGCTGTATTTTCACCACCAAGCTCAGCATGGCCCCAGCTTTGCTCAAAGGATGCAACCTGGCTTGTCTTCCTTCTCCTTCCTCACTGCACACAGATTGAAGACTGCAGTCATAGAAGAGCTAGACGGGTTTTCAGGTCAGGATTGACTGCTCAATTTGGGGGATTAAAGAAGCCAGGTACAGACTCAAGGACAGCTGAAGCATGGGATGTCAGAGGAAAGCCTGGCTGGATGAGCAGGGAATTGTGCTGCCACAGTCTTGCTCCATAGTGATGGAGAGACACAAAGACTAAGGTAGGATCAGCCTAGCTCAGCTTCTCTCTCAGTCTAGAGAGAACAAGGGGCAGCTAATGAAGGGTGCAGGGAGCAGCTCGCCTGGGTTCACGTCAGCCACTCATTCCCCCTCCAAACTCCATGTCCTATCCATGGGTTGCCTGCAGATGGGAGAAGGGGAGACTGCTCCATTCCCTGTCTTTTGCTAGCACAAGGATGATATAGAGCATCATGATCCCTGAGCAGAGGCTGAAATGGGGATGTAGGAGCCCCAGGAAGCCTTGTCATCCTCCTTACAGCCCTCCCTGCTGTGCAGTGCCCATTGGGAGCTGTGTTTTACAGCCCATGCTTTCGGCCAGGACCTGACCAAAGAGAGTGTGCAGCCCCTCCAGGTACAATGTGTGGTCTCTTAACACCACCTGATCAGCCAGGCCTGATCCTGCTCCTGAGAAACCCATTGAATGGCTGGAAAAAATGTTTTCTGACAGGATGGAGATATTCAGGGGAGTTGCCAAGCAACTGGCGCAGCTCCTTTCCTCCCTCTGAGCAGTGAGCAGGCAGGGGATGGCTGCATCCCTGCATCCCTCTGCCTGGCCAGCCCAGCGCTGGTACCCCAGAGGAGGTACCAACAGGGAGTGGGAAAAACAGGGACTGGGAAAGGCAGGGGCTGTTCATGGGAGGGAGAACGATGCTTTTAGCCAGTGGGAATGACCATTCCTGCACACCCAACCTATGGCAAATCACTGTCAGCAGCAGGGCTAGAGAGAGGCTTTCTCTTCTAACCCATTTCTGAGCTGAGCAGCTTCCTTTTGAACTAGTCCTAGAAATGTGTGCTAACACATGGAGCAAAACACCCAGGAGGACTCATTATAACCCGAGTTTCATTAGTGTCACCTCAGCATTTCCTTGGGAGTTGCTTCAGATTTACACTAAGAGAAATATGCAGCCCAAACCCTTGGGATTTTCTTTTCTAAAGCTTTAATTTAAATCAACTCTTGAGTAACAACAAAAGTCAGCTGATGTCCCTCATAAAGCCTTGGACCCGCAGCAAGGGGTATGAGGCAACGCTTAATGGGAGAGAGGCAACTGATAGCTGCAATCTTGCAAAAGATAGTTGCTGAGTGAGTGGCAATAAACAGCAAATCCAGCCAGCTCCTCGAAATGGCAAATGGACCAGGCTGTTCAGAACAATCTGTTCCTTCTCCAGAGAAGGGATGTGGTGCTGGCGGCAGGCTGGGAACGCGGCTATTCTCGGCGTGAGCTGGTCTGAAACTCTGCCTCAGAAAAATGGCAGGGCCAAGACAGGCTCATTACAAGGAGACACGTCCTAAATCAAAGCAGTCTGCAAGTGGCTTTGATGGGCTGACTCTTCTCCAGGGAGGCTTGTGCTGAAGGAGCCCTGCTCTGCCTTGTCCCACGGCCCTGCTTGCTGCTGTGTCTATGGCTTTCTGCTCTGGCTGATGCTTGGGCAGGAAAACCCTGCTTATCCACCTTGTTTGGCCGTGTTTGGCCATGCACTTTACTGCCTCATACCATCACCTACTTAATCAGGCATTAACATCACTAACCCAGAAGGAGAGCAGCTAGTGCACCCAGTTTCTTGCCCACTGCTACAATTGCTGTTGGAAGAGGACACCCCAGCGTGCCCAAGCTTCTCCCATAAAGCCAAAACTGAAGAGACAGAAAGGCCTGGGGCTGTCCATATCAACAGCACACTGGGCTGCACCTCGGGTGCAATTCCTCCAGGCATATTTATTTCAGTTTTCTTGCTTTCCCTGGGGCTTGTGGGCTCCCCCAGGGTTCTTTCCTCCTGTGCCCAACCCAGCGATCAAGTGGCCTTCATTTGGTTTGGAAAAGTAAAGTAAAAGATAACCTGGATGCAGATGGTGCAGAACACCCGTGCAGCAGTTTAATTAATTGCCTTTAAATGTTAATTCAAAATAGTTTCCCTGAGTGATCTTTTATAGGCAAATCCTCAGTTGCCTTAAGCCACTTGCAGAGTGAGTTCAACTAGTAAGGTATTCTTAGTCCTGATCAAGAGCATTGCACGGGACGGTAATCAGGAATGATTAATTGGAAATAGCTCTTCTAAACCAGGCTGTACCTGCTGTGCTCTCCTGTGCTGCCCAGCTCTACCCAGAGCTGACACAGAGCTGTTCGGGTTCTGTGGGGAAGGAATTTTCCTCCCTGATTCCCCCCATGATGTCCTGCTTTCCTAGCCACAAACCACCCCTCTCACCTCTCCTCCCAGTGCTCTCCATCTGCATCTGGCACAGACCATTTCCAGCACAGCATCTAGATTTGCCAACAGACATTCCTGGGGAAGAATGGGATCTGGGAGGTCACGGTGGGAATTTATTAGCTCGGCTTATGCTTGGAATAGCCAAGTGTCCTGCCAGACTTTCAGAGCTCTTGCATTGCACATCCCACCCTTAAGCAAAAACCCAGCCTCCTGCTTGGGTTTTATGCTGTAAAATGGCTGCGTCTCTCCAAACCTGCTGAGCAGCCCTGCTCAGAGCTTTGCTTTGCGAGGCTTTGCCTAAATCATAAGCAAAACCCCATGTTATCTGCACAGAGAACTCGTCCCAGTCAGGCAAGACCCTGTGTGACAGCAGCTTCTGCGATAGCCCTGTCCTTGAGTCCTCTGTTCTCTTCTCTTACTCTAGCTAAAGTCGTCCCTCCTGCAGCAGATGAGTGTTTGCTACATGCCAGGTTTGACCTCAGGCCAGTGAAACGTTCTGAGGTCTTTTCTTGCTTTCAGATGGCAGCACATCCTCAGCTATTTTGCTTCTGTGTTCCCCCCCCCCCCGGCTGCAGCCTTTGAGCAGTAATTTAGCACGGTGTACCTGCTGCAGGCGAAGTCAGCATAGAGAGATGAAGCAAATCCATGTCATTAGGCTCTGCTGGAGGGGCTGAGCCTGCAGTGGAAAAGAGTTTTACTTTCCCAAAGTCAAGCCCTGGGGAGCTTGCTCCTAAAATGACCCGTTAAAAACCACCAAGTAACGCCACGGAGTCGGTTCCCTGCTGGAAATCACATTTTGCTTGGTGTCAGCAATTCAGAAGAGACCCATCTGCAGGAAATTATGATGACAATTTCCTCTTTGAGTGAAGAGGAATTACAGCTGTAATCGAGGAGGCTGTGAACAGCCTCCCTTCTCCTTGCTTAGTACCAATTCCTCTTAAAACTTAAAGCCATACGTAGAAACATCTCTACCCCATCCCGCTACCTAAAGGCCATTGCTGCTGCACTCACAGTCTGTCAGGAAAAACATACCTAGAGGTGAAAACCAGTGACTTTTGTGCTATTTTGTCATCTCTAATGATAGATATGATGGATATGCACTTGTTATTTTTGCACTGTAGACTTCCAGCGTGAGAACGGTGTCCTGCTGCGTGCTTGTAGAGTCTCTGGCACATTTGGCTTTGATTTTGTTGAGGTTTTAAGTGTTAAATCAGGAAAATTGCATCAGATGTTTGCAGTGTTGTTGCAGATGCTGGGCATGAGAGCCTTTTCTCCCAGAAGGGTGTGTGCTGAGGACAGGCAGGCAAGGAGAAGTGATATCATGCAGGGAGAGAATGGCTCAGCATTTGAGGATTAGATGGTGTGTATTTTAGTAAACCTTTTCTGTAACAAACACACAGAGCAAAACTCAGGCCAGTTGCAAAAGGCTGCAGGTCTACAACTGTCAATGCATTTGCAATGCTCTTAGGACCAAAACTGCATGAAGGTTGGTATGGTTCATGCACATACGAAGATAGCCATTCTTCAGAGGAAAGAACTAAAACCTGGGGAGAAGATGTGCTCATGGGAGGCCATTCGCAGGCCAAGTCTCGATAAGGTGACACCGTGATGCCAAGGAATCCCTGCAGGTCCATGACATAACATTTCAGCAAAGGTGGACCTAGTGTGTGCCTGAATTTGGGACCTCTTCTATAAGGTTTTGCCATTGGATTGCTGGCTGAGAGGATCTTTCCCCATCCTCAGCTGCCTTAGCAGTTGTGAGCATCTTCCTGCACCTCCCAGCACTACTGCTGGAGCTGATGGGAGTTTGATTAAGATTTAATCCAGGCTTTTAGAGGAGGGAAAAAAGAAAGTTTTGACAGTTCCATATATAGTCCTCTGACTCACAGATTTCATGTGTCAAACACCAAAGACGGGTTAAGTAGAATTAAGTTCTGGATTTGTTATAAATAGGCATTAGGTAACATGAATGTATTAAATTTGCATGAAAATATGGGCCTTATTCTCTGGCTTACCCCAGAGATCTTCTTGGACGTCAATGGGATGCTCAAAAGATGAGCTTACATCAGAGTCAGCCCAGTTCTGACCGTCCCCTGCCGCCACCATTTAGCTGGATCCAGTGAAATGGGGAAATCATTGCTGAAGTCGGGAAGGATTTGTGCTGCTTGCAGAGATCAGAATTTTGCCCTTAAAATAGTACAAATAGTTTTAATTGGACCACAGATCTTCAGCTGAAGGAATAATTTCTCCATGTCAATCAGTGCTAAATGTACCTATTAAATCAGGGAAGATGGGTTAAGTGAGAATTGCATAGAAAGTCACTTTTCTTCTGTTTTTTCCCAGAAGACAAAGATTTGTTGGATTCAGATGCTACAGACTATCTCATCCTGCTCTGATTACTGTTCTGCTCAGCCACAGCTTAAAGGTCCATCCAGACAATGAAGTCACCCTCATTCAGAGCAAGTCTGACAGCTGAGCATTGTTTGGGTGAAAACAATCTCCTTTAGTAAAATAAATGAGTGTGACAGACACAGACTCTACCAAGTCAGAACCCTCCTCAATAGTTTAATTTACTGACTTGTTCATTGCTAAACAATTGAGAATTGGTCCATGGAGAAGGAACACAAAAAGGACAGATAATATGGGCTGTAGTTTGAGGTTGGACTAGTCCAAGCCAAGGGAAAATAGGCGTTTGAGCCATTCAGCAGCATTGTTTCTGGGAAAATAATGACCACCCCTGCAGCTCTACCTTTACTCTGGACTGGAGGTTTGGCCTTATTTCTGCTGAGGGTGAAGAGAAGCAAACTGGAGAGAAGGGAATCTGCAGTATGACACAGCCAGGGCCACCGAGACAGAGTGACAGCTTCATCCCTGGAGACGGTGCTGTTACTATCCCACGGAGCTGTCACTCATGCAGGAACAGCACAAAAAGCTCTGGGAGCTTCCCTGGGCCCCTGTGGGACCCTCAGGCTCTGGTGCCTTCTCAGCGTTGCTCTGCTTTTGGTTGAGATTCTTATTATCTAGCGTCACATTCTGCTTTTTGCCATGAAAATCATTTCCAATTAAACGCATCCTCAGAGCCTATCTGGCTGTGAATTAGCCTGGAACTTGATGGCTGGCTTGTTAGCTCATCAAAGTCTCCAGGCTAACGGGGACGGGCAGCCTCAGGAGTGATGTGCTGGCTGGGGATTTTGCTCTCTGCCTTGAACTCACCGCAGCTCTGCAAACCGAGACACGGATGCCCTTTGCTCACCTTCAGCACTTCTCTATTCCCCTTCATCCCGCAGCTGAGTAAGCAGCACGAGGACTACAAAACACAGCCCTGCTGCAGCCTCCAGCTCTATCTCATGCTTCTGCCCTCCAGGGATCGCAGGGTTTGCTGAATCCCTGGGAAGAAGCTGGACACGCGCTCCAGCTTATGAGGAAGGGATTATCATAGCTCTTGTGATTCAGCCCACAGCTCCCGTGTGCATGGAAAGGAGAGAAGCGGGTATGAATCCTTAGTTTGTTCCCTGTATTGGCTCTGTCCCCGAGTTGGCAGTGCCTGTTCTCCCAATGGCAGGCATCTCCAGGGTGTCTGAGTGCTGAGGCAGTGGCAGCGATGTGGTGATTGCTGCTTCTCCATGAGCAAAACAGATTGAAACTAGGTATGATGTCCAGGGAGCTGGTTGCAAGGAAGGGAAGGGAATGGCAACTCTGTGGCTCTTGACAGTGAAACCCTGGGTTCTGCTTTCCAGTTAGAGCAAAAGGCTTCAAAGTCCCAGGTTATGGGATGATTGAAATATTCAAAGGGAAGCAAGAACCAGTAAAACGAGGGTTTCTGCTTGCTGTGGACACGCAGCCAGGGAGACATCAGAGCACATGCTTCGGGGCTGGTTTTGGGGCATGGAAACCCCTTTGGTCCATGTAATGGGGGCTCCCAGCACTTCCCTGGCCACCCTCCTTGGTGATGGTCCCCGTGGAGAACACGTCCACATTCTGGTGTGATGTTGCTGTCATGGTAACCGGGGTCGGACCGGTACCCGCCCTCTGATGGGTTCTTAACTGCTTCTGTGCTTCCCACTGGAAATAGGGGCTGTTCTTGGGGAATAACTGACTGCCATCGTGGTCCTGCCCCCTGGCTGGAGAGGAGCTGCAGCATCCTGCAGCAGGGTGAGCAGCATTGCGGGCTACAGGGGAGCCTGGACGGCTGCAGGGGGGCTGGGTGGGGTGGGACTAGCTTTGTGGGTGAGGTCTGGGGGGTCAGCCCCAGTGCTGCAGAGGGATGGGGGCTGCATCCAGGCAATGTCCTTGCTCATGCTCCCAGGGGACTCTGGCTGCTGGCACAGGGGGTCTGGCCTCACTGGGATTTCTATGGAAACCCAGGTACCGAATGGGATGGAATAGCTCAAACCATCTGTTCTTCCCCTGCTTATAAACTGGATAAGAGGAGCGTGCTTCGTGATGACATCCCTACACATGTTCTTCTTTTATTCATTGTGCAGCCATCTGTGATGGTTTCCTTATGTGCCAAAACACCCGAAGGACACAATCATACAACCAACCCCTTACCCAGGTTTTGTTTCTCCCCTTGGAAAGCAGGCCTGTCCCCGTGAAGGCTCTATCTTCCCCTTCCCAAGGTGCCTGCAGGGTGACTGCAGAATTAGCTGGAAGAAATGAGGAAGTCGAAGGTAAAAACTGAAGCACAAACCAAAACTAAATTGAATCTGCCTTGGGGATCTTCCCTACAGAAAGAAATGCTGTGGTGCAGTGAGCTAGATGGCTGGTGGGGAGGGAGCCAGGCTTTCTTCTGCTAGCAAGGTGTTGGGTTCTTCTGCTGGGTCTGATTCTGCTGGGGATGAGTCCATGGACTGATATTTGGGTGTTGGGAAAGGCAGGGTTGGGAGATAACACCTGAGGACACAGGCAGTGGTGGATCTAAATGCCACAGCTTCAGTGCTGACCTGTTGGGCAGTTTCTCAGCTAGAAGTCACCTTCGCACAGCTGGGGATGTGAGCACTCCTGCTCCACTCCTGGGCAAAGCTGGGTTTGTTCACATCCACCAGCATGGTGGGCTTTGCTCTGAAGCTGGTCAGACCCACTCATGGGGTTGGTTTACGTGGCTCTGGTTTTGGTGTTGACACAGAGCTGGAGGTGATGCCGTTAACCCACTCCCCTGTGTCCAGCTCCACTGTCTACCAGAAAATGCTGGTTGCATTTGCTCAAGTGACCAAACTCCCTCTCTGTGACAGAGGCAAGGACACCCCTCGAGGCAGGACCTTTCAGATGAGCCTCTGAAGGTGTCAGAAAGGATGGTTGTGTCCGAGATCAACAGGCTGCAGAAACAGTTTCGGATAGCAATGGAGAAGAGGAAGTCTTACAGTACCAACCTGAAACAGCAAATACTGGCCCAGGAGTGAGTTCAGCTTCACTCAGCTTCATTGTGCTTGGAAAGCTCCTCCATGCTAAGATCTAGGGACCCTGGTGCTGAGATGGAGGGCGGGTGTAGGACCTGCTGTGGTGTTGTAGATGGGATGTGCTGAATGTAATTTGTGGTTCTGTTTTTACAGAAAAAAAATAGAATCTCTGACTCAAGAACAGAAAGAGGTGTCACTAACAATAGGCCAGATCATGTCCCCAAAAAATAGGATGCTGGATGACAGAAATTGCAAAGAGGCCCAATACCTTTTGCAGATCAGATATCAGTATGATTGTCTGATTAGAGAAAGAAAAGCACTGTTAGCTGTCCTGGACAACCAGGTAAGAACATCTGGACTGTTTCCTACTGAGCATGGTACAGCAGAGCAGTCACAGAGTGATCCCTGGAGCTGAAATGCCTCAATGTAAAATGCATTTAGTTCAGGTCTTGGAACATAATGCTGCCTCCTGGCAAAAGACACATGACAATGATAAATGGATAGAGCCATTCAAGTCAGCAGTGCTGGCTGGAAAAGTAAGGTCTGACCCTCAACCTTGCTGTCCTAGTCTCTGCAGCTCCTCTTTGATGGCACACACCTGCCTGGGGTCAAGCAACATCCCTTTGCTTTCCCCTTGACTTTTCCTCCTGAAAAAGAGGCAAAAATGGAACATTAGTTGTGCTGCCTGAGACATGGCAAATTGAGGAGCAGCAGCACCTGCGGGATGTACCATTACTTCCCCTCTGGGCAGGCTGGTTGGATTTGGTCTGAGGCCAAGGGAAACCTAGTGCTACAGAAGTCACAGGTCCTTGCTGCTTCCTGCTCTGAACAAGTTGCCTGTGACAGAAATCAGGGAACATGCTCGGATGGTTTATAGTTGCTATAGGTGCTGCAGAGCTTTCCACACCAGGGTTAGCTTTCCATCAGGGATCTCTTGGCTGAGTCATTCCTCTCCCACCTGCTCCCTGCTTCGTTGTTCTCCAACTACTTTATTCTTCTCCTGGATTTATTTCCTCTGGCAGCTCCTCACTTCTGGAAGAAGTTTTTCTCCTTTCAGTCCCAGGGAGGACTGCACAGATCCCTGTCTGGCCAGCACAATGTGACTACCAAAACCCCATTCTCATTGCCTCTTCCACTTGATGCAGAGTGCTGCTGTGCCTTGTCCAACACCTGCTGACTTTCCCTCCAGAGGCAGCTACATTTCCTTCATGACATGAAAGTAAACCCATTCCTAGTTACAGTTTATGTTTCTGCATGTGCAGGATGGGATCCTTTGGGATTAAAGCTGTTTCTATAACTGTGAGATCATTAATGACATGGTTGCTGTAGTTCAAGTCAACAGTGGGTATTTTCTTTGGCTTAGCGTCCTGACAAGAGTCCAGAACACAGGGGTGGAGATTAAGCTTTCCTTTTATTATGATCATTATTATTTTTAATCTGTGTTGCAGATAGAAGAGCTGGAAAAAAAGGTTGTGAAGCAAAACCTGATAGCAAGCAAGGTGAAGCAAGCAAACTGTAGCAAACAGCTGCAGAAGCAGATTGACACACTGGAGATGCGTCTGTACAATGTAAGCAAACCTGTTGCCCACCTTTGGAGACCAGGTGTGAAACCCACTTTTTAGTAAGGACAAAGGGGAATGGTGCATATGCATTTGGTTGGCCTGAGCTGCATAAAGGACGTGGCTGTTCCCCTGGCCTGATTGCTCCCAGAATATCTCGAAGGCTCCTTCAAACTTTGTGACCCAAATGCAGCACTTGTGCCACGCCGAGAAGCCTGAAGGTCTGCACCTGTGTAGCAATAAAACCAAGCTGCCTGAAGCCACCTTGCTTTGGACAATGCCAGCTCCAGATCTCTGTTGTGGTTGGCCTGACTTACTGTTGCCTCCCCTGTCTTGGGGAGGATAGTGCAGGGCCAACTTAAGATCTCTTAGACTGCTTGTCCTAAGTCTGGTCAAGGTCTTTCAACAGAGACCTGAGTCCTATACCAGCTTCAAGCTTTTTGCATCTCTCTTCCCAGGCCAATGTCCATTTCAATACCATCCTGGCCAAAAATGACAAGCTTCGAGAAGAGATTGAAAGCCTGCAAATCCAGAAGGCTGTTTTGGACAACTTCTACTTCAAGCTCCATACAAAGCTGGATCAGCAGAAGAAAAGGATGAACACTGCTGTTGAGCAAACCACACAAGCCTACGAGCAGCTGTACGTGGCCTTGAGAACCCTGTGTGGCAAACTGAGCACCAAGAGGCAATGCCAATGATGTGTTGATGTAAAGAAAGAGATTTCAACTTCGGAGAGAGGATTCAGCACCCTTGTCTAGAGCTGGGTGCTAGGATTAGGTGTCTGATCAGGGAGGCTGGTACACATGATGTAACCTGCTGCTGCTCTCTGTGTGCAGGTCAGAGGCCCAGACAAGGATTGCAGCCATGATCGAAAGGCACAAGACAGACACTGCCCAGTACCACATCGAGATGCAGGAGCAGGAGCGTATCCTTGCACGGGAGACCAAATTGAAAGCCTTCATGCTTGCCAGATTTACTGATCGCTCTGAACTGGAGGAACAGGCCAAAAAGAAAAGAGGTATCAGAGCAGAAAGAACATGTGCAGCTGGGACTGCCAACCAGGAGCCTGCAGAGCTGGCAAGGGGGCTGTTTAAAGTGATTTATATCACTGAACCCCAAAGGAAGGACCTCTCCCCTTTCCAAAGGCTCCTTCACCCAACTTTCACCCTACAAGTGAAAAGGATGAACAGTGATAATCACCCAGCACTGTGTGTGCCCTTGGGGCAGAGGGAGGGATGGGGCGGCTGCCCCTATGTGCAACCATGTCTCCTTTTATCCTCCTGGGGAGGGATCCCACTGTGTTTGGCCCATTCCCGTGAGGACAGTAACTTCCCTGCTTAGTTTCAGTGTGAAACCAGGACACCTTCTCCCCCTCTGGCACTGGTCCACCCTGTCCTGAGCACCACACTGAACCCCTCAGCACCTGCAAGGGAAGGCTCTGTGAAGGGCACCTCGCAGGGACACACACAGCCTGGGCTCTCCGTCTCTCCCTCAGACTTGAAAGCAGCCCAGAGGGCCAAGAAGAGCGGAGGGGAGTGCTTTGAGACTTGGGAAGTGGCTTACAAACGCCTGCTGGAGCTGGCAGAGGATGGGAATGTCGACCAGCTGCTGAGTAGCTTCGTCGAGAAGGAGCAGAAGAGCTTCGCCTGCTTCCTCTATGCCTCTGAGCTCAATGACGATATGCAGAAGTTGCAGAGGAAGATCAAGGAACTCCAGGTCTGTTCCAGGCTCTTCATGTCGCCCCTCTCAGCTGGTGGGTTTTGGGCTGGAGTGGGTGTTTCCTTTCCCGTGTGTCCAGCATCACTGCCGGCACCAGAGCCCTGCTCTCAGCCTGCCATAAGGGTGGGATTAGGGGAATGGAAAGAGATAGCTAAAAATACAACTCCGATAAACAGAACTCTGTGTTGTCGGAGCTAAAAGTGTCTCAATGCTGCCACCGTGTACCCAGCAAAAATACTGCAGCATCCAGGAAAGCCAAGAGCTGCCTTTGCCTCACTCCGTAGCTGGAGAGAAGGGGACATCACCTGCCCTCCTGGACTGGGGCCAGAGGGGTCAAGTGGGATGTCCCTGCTCCCAGGATGGAGGGATGGTGCCCAACCTCCGTTAGGAACATCTGGTGGGCATTCAGGCAGTATCCCCTTTGTGTGCTTGCGTTTACACAGCTTGAAATTGCATCCCTCATGAAGGGTCAGAAGCATGCAAAGACCAAGAGCTTTCATCTCGTGAAGGAGCTGGAGGTAAGGCAGCCAGGATTTCCCTCTGCAAGGGCAGCAGATCCCTGTCTGTCTTGGCATGTCCCCTTGGGAGTCTGGTCCTGCTGATGCTGATCAGAAAAGGGCCCTGCATAGGCTTTGGCAGCCCTGTCTCTCAGTGCATGGTGAGAGGGTGGTTGGAGGGCTCCTGGCAACCCTGCTCCCCCTTGAGCCTTGTCCTTGGCATGGGGAGCTTAGGATCCCCTTCACAGAGCCTTTCCCCTGCAGGGATGGGAGCATCCCACAGCCTCTCCTGGGACGTCTCCGGTGTCCAGACTGGAAGTGGATGGGACTGGGGTTGGGGGGAGAGCAGGGAACTGGTGTGACACCTCGCAAAACCTTTGCCGATAGACAAATCTAACGGAAAGCACCGAGGAAGCCAACTGCTACGAAGACCTGTGCAAAGAGAGAAGCAAAATCCTGGGCCAGCTCAAATCCAGCATGGAAATCCTGATCAGAAAAATCGACTGCGACACTACGGACATAATGAAGCAGCTTGGAGAAAAAGGAGAGATCACGGATCTGAACCTGATGCAGTATTTTGGTGAGTCAGGGCTGCCCATCTTCTCATGCCACATGGCCTGGATCTTGTATGTCCACCACCTGCTTGCACTGTGTTTTAATTGAGCTAGTTTCACCCCCCGTCCCATCACGGATGGGTGTCCCTAATGTGATTTTGTGATGCCAGATTCCCAGCAAATTCAGGAGCTAACCTGGCCATCCCTGGAAGTGCTCACAAACCATGTAGATGAGGCCCTTAGTGATGTGGTTTAGTGGTGGACTTGTCAGTGCTGGGCTAAAGGTTGGACTTGATCCTAAAGGTCTTTTCCAACCTAGTTGATTCTATGATTCTATGATCCCAGTGGGCCCCCAAGCCCTCATCTTGGCTCTGGGTGTGGGACCCAGCCTTGGACTCTTGTCCCTGGGGAGACAAGCTGCCTGACAGCACTTCCATGGGGAAGTCCATGGATCCCCTTCTCAGCAAACATCTGGGGGTGGGTTTGGGCCCACAGAAGCCCTGTAGGATGGTGTTTCTTCCCACCCAGGTCTCATGGAGAAGAAGACCAATGAGCTCCTGCTGCTGGAGTCCATCCTGCGCTACACACTGACTGAAGGCACCTCTCTGGACCTGCCCTTCACCAACCCACTGCTGGGAAGCCCTGAGCTCCTCCAGGAGATCAACTGGTCCCAGATCTGCCCACCACCTCCCACCCTGAATGACAACAACAACGCCATTGATGCCTGTGAGTGCTGTAGGCGGGAGGGAAGGGCTGTGTCCATGCAGCCAGACAATCCATGATTCCTACATCCCGTTGTCAGCCGTCCTCCCCAGCTAATCCCACCCAGCCTGTCCTGCCCTACCAGGTATATAAGTGGGAATGTATAGCTGTACACAGGTATATAGGGTGTGTGTGATGGGGTGGATGTTTTCTTGGGCAGTGGAGGTGCCTCTGGACCACAGTCAGCTCTGTCAGATGGTTCTCCAGAACCACAAGAAGGACTGGGACAACGCTGCTGGTACAGATGAGAACACACCAGGGATGGAATAAATAGTTTTACTCTTGAGTTCCCCTCTGCTTCTGCATCCTGGACATCATTCCATCTCCCTTCTCCTCTGGAAGGAGCCCAATGCCTTTTGCAGGCTTCAAAAGGTGCTATTTCGGCATGGCTTCACCCACTGCTGACAGCTGCTGTGTAAAGGGCCCACTGCTCTCCAGTGGGATGCTGTCCCCATGGCACAGCCTAGCACCCTTCCTGCAGCCAGGCATTACGTAGCTACTAGGGAGGAGATGAGGACCACAGTCCCAGTCCTGCCCTATGCCTGCCCAAGCAGTGTGCTTGCTGGGTGCTCCCTGCTAACCTGGAAGGAGCAGGCAGCTCTCTGCTGCCTGAAGCAAAGCTGAGCTCTGTGCTGGTGCTGGGCTGGTGGGACCAGATGGCTGCTTGCCACAGCCCAAACAGGCTGTTTGGGGCTGGGAGCTGGGCCAGGCTGGGCCATGTTGAGGCAGAGGGACTGAGGGCACATGGGGGTGATGTGCAGTGGGGCTGCAACGGTGGGTTGCGGGTCTGGGAGGGATCCAAAGGCACAGACACACCACACAGGCACACCACACAAGCCCAAGCACTGTTCACACCAGCGGCTGAATTTCTTCTGCCAAAAGGCAATTTAATGGGGATGCCATTCACACGTTCCCCATGGAACGTGTGGGAGCCAGAGAGAGGCGATCTCGCAGTGCCCAGTTAGTCCTTCTCTTCGCCGTGTGTAATGACATGGACGAGGTTTTTGTAATCCAGGTTGCCAGACATGTCCGGAGGGAAGGCTGCGAACATCTGCTCCACCTGCCGGGAAGGAGACAGGTTGGAAAAGTGGCACAGGAGGGGTTTGTGCCTGGGGCTCTGCGGGGATGGAGGGAAGGAGCTCGTACCTCTTCCTGGGAAAACCTCTCGCCCTGTGTCATCAGCATTTCTTTGATGCTGCAACCAAGAGAGTGTGGTGAGCACCAGGGAGGCCTCAGTGAGGACACCCGCCCTCCCCTTGGGCAACCCCTGCACTCACTAGGCAGATTTCAGTCCTTTTCCCTCTGGATCGAACACCTTGAATGCATTCAGGATCGTCTCCTCCGGGTCTGCTCCTGCGGGTGACATGGGCACAGCCATTGGATGCAGTGGAGGAGGAAACCAGCTCCAGCCTCCTGCTTCCCACAGCCTTTGGGGTAGAAAGGGAAGGCTGGGAAGCATCATTGCCACAGGAATGTGGACCCTGCAGCTGGGGCCTCAAGTGGAGGTGGTGGCTGTCGAGGAGCAGAGGCAGGGCTGTGGTGTGGCCGCAGAGCAAGCTGTCACCACCGCCTGCCAGCCGGCGTCTATCTTATCTTTGGGTGTATTTATAGAGCTCCAGGCTTTTGGGGCTGCAATTCCTCCTGGAGAGCTGCAGGGAGGCTGCATGCCCCGGGCTGTGTGTCAGCAGGCTCTGACAGGTGCAGCGGGATCTCTTTGTCCCATTCGCAGCCTGCTGTGGTTCTTAAAGGTTGGGGAAACTGAGGCACAGAGATCTGCTCACACCACAACAGGCTGGAGAGGCATGGAATGAGATCCAGGTCTCCAGATGGGCAGCACCAGCCCTGTCTGAGACTGTATTGCAAATCACTGTGAATTTTGGGGTGCAGGGATCTCACTGGGGACACTTGCTCAGGGTGCATGATGCTCTTTGTCCTATCTGTGGTGTCTCAGGACAGGGAAGTAGGGAGAGCACACAAGTCCAGGATTTGGAGGATGAGAACTGGAATTCTTGGGAAGAGAGGTTGTTGCTGGTGAAGATCCCACCATAGCCTCTATCTTTGGGGGGTCCCTGTGCTGTCATTGGGAGAAGATGGCACTAAGCGATGTCAGAGGGATGTGAGAGGGAGATCATTTCACAGGTATCCTGTGGTTGTCCCCAGGTTTGACCTCTTGGCCATGGCATGGGAGCATCCCACTTCCCATGCTCTGCATGCCACAGTACAGCAGCCAGTGCCACTTGCTTTCCTTTAGCAGCTCCCATGTGTAGCCTCCAAGGACCATCTGAGGGATCTCCGTGGAAGGGTGATAGAGGCCCTGGGAGCTGTGTGGCTTCCCCAGGTGGGACAGGATATTGGTGATGGTAGCAGTGCCCACTGACCCCCCCCAGCTGCCCTCTCACCCTTGAGTTTCTCCCCAAACATGGTGAGGAACACAGTGAAGTTGATGGGGCCGGGTGCCTCCTTTATCATCTCATCGATCTCCTCGTTCTTCACGTTCAGGCGCCCTAGAGGAGAGCAGCAATGGGTGTCCATGTCCAGATGCAGAGATGTGCAGCCCTCCAGGCTCTGCTCTATGTGCCAGCAGCTAAAAGACACACCACGGGAGCCTTTCCCAGGGGTTTTTCCCCCATCTGAAGCAGCACAGCCCTGGGGAACCATCTCTGACAAGGAAGGGCAATGAAGAAGTGAAGATGGGAGAACTGTGTGCTGATTTCCATCATCTCCATCTCTGGTTTCTCCAGCCACAGGATCATACAGCCCTGCAAAGGGCTGAGCTGTGCTGCTTCCTTCCCTCACTGCCCTATGGAGCAGCCTACTTCAGCCCTGCTTGGAAGATACTTTGGGTTGAAATTAACAGTGCTGCTCCCCCCTGTGTCAGAAGTGAACAGGACTGAATGCCTACATCCTTTTACATGAGGTTGGGTGTCTTTGGGACTCCCCATCCCCATCACTGGTTCATGCTGGCCTCTGTGATCAGAGAGTCAAGCTCACAACTTCACAGCTTCCCACAAAGCCCATAAATGCCCCTAATGCCCGTACACCCAGGGCTACTGTGGGATGGGCCTAACCAGGTCCTTCTTAGCTAAGAGAAGGCAGGGAGAATTTGGCCATGTACAATCCAGCAGTTGGATCTGTGGGATAAAACGCCTGCTGCTGTGGGATCTGCTCCCACACAGAGCTAACAGAAGTGGGTTTGGATCAGGAGGTTTTCAGTGAAGCAGCAGATCCAGTTACCGGTGGGGCTTGGTTAAATGGGGGCTCACAGCTGGTTTCTCACATAATAGGTCTGATATTGTCTAAGCTGTTAGGGAGGATCCTAAAGAGGGGCTCACCAAGTGCAGCGAAGGTGTCTCTCAGATCTGCCTTGTCGATGAAGCCATCCCGGTTCTGATCCATGATGGTGAATGCCTGGAAGCACAAGAGGAGGACAGGGAGCACAGGGAGAGGCTTTAGTATCCTCCTCCTCCTCCTCCCTTCGACTTGGATGAGACAAGGGCACCTTGAGCCCTCACAGAATGGAGCAACAACCACCACCCAAATCCAGCAGCAATCCTAAACCCCTGCACCCTTGGGTGTTTGTGGGGTGATGGCTTCCTATGGCAAACCCCAATGCTGTACAGCACCATGTGCCAGCCATGCAGGGGGAACATCATGAAGAGCTGAAGGTCACATCGCATCATGGACGCTCGGTCATCCAAACACACCTACCTCTTTGAATTCCTGGATCTGGGCCTGCTCAAACATGGAGAAGACGTTGGAATTAGCACCTTCAATCCTCTTCTTGGCTTTCTTGGGTGCCTGCAGGGGTTCAGGTATGTATCACTAATTCACTGGCTTTTTATGGCGTGGAACAAAAGCATGAAACTACCCTATTTTTAGGTGAGTCCTTCACGGTAGCTCTGGGTTGGTGCTGCTGCTCTGCTGTCTTCCCTGGGTGCTTGGTGCATTGCTCAGCTCTGGACACATGCAACCCTCCAATGTCAATGGATGTTAAGATTCTTGCTTAAATTACAGCTCTATCTTTGCTTCCTTGATGAATTTAACCAAATAGATCCCAGGACAGATGAGCTGGGAAATCACTTCCCCACCAAAGGCTATGGCAGTAAAAGGGTCGGCATTGGGGTGAGACTGAGATCTCCCTGGGTGGATATCCAGCTTTGGGAGTGCGCTGCTGAGGTTGCACCCAAGGGCTGTAGTCATCGGGTGCTTCCTTACCCTGCTGTGCCTCACTGAGAACTCAGCTCTTATTAAACTGCTTAATAAAAGAATCTGCCTCCTCCTGCTGTGAGGCTTGAAACAACCAGAAACAGCTCAACTTTTATAAGGAGCAGAGGACAGAGCCGCTCGCCATCCCACCCTGCCCGTCATCCCTCTTCCCAGCCTTTCCCTCTAACCAGGGAGGGTCTGCCAGAGAAGGGATTTTAGGGAATACAATAGCCCTTCCTCTCGCTATATGGAGGAAGGGAAAGCAGCAGGATGGTATTTGGATCCCCAAACCCTCTGCCCCCGTTAGAAAGCTCTGCTAGTGTGGGATACACCTCTCTGTTCCCCACGGGATGCTGCTGATGCAGCCAGATTTCTCACCCCCTTCCCAGGGCAGGAGGGACCTTTGGCCATCAGATCCCTGTCCCCTCCATCATTCCCTGCATATTAAAGCTATCCTGGTGAAAAAGCTGACAGATTTTGCCTCTTCCCATTGGAATTCTGGGCTCTCGGTACTCACCATGGCTTCACGCAGGTACCGATGTTGCTGCGAGAGGTGTCTCAGAGGCAAGTCTCTCCTTCCCCTCGGGCTGGAACAATAAATACATCCCACCCCTGGTTAAAAATAGCCTCATGCCCACTTTTGGCTGTGGTAGGTAAATCAGCCACCCCCAGCCCTCTTGTCTCCGTCTCCCTCCGTCCCCCTCTCTCTAATCTGGAATAGCAGCTTCTTGTCAGCGGCTGACGTGACATGTGAGAGCCAGAGAGGGTTTCAAGGTTAACCAAGTGGCCCCGCAGCTCCCACACTGCAGATGCTGACCCATGGTGGGGACTGCACAGGAGCAAACCCACCTGTGTTTGTCACTCGGGATGGGGCCGGGCTTTTCCCCTCTTCTGGGGGACAGGCAAGGAGGGTTTGGGCTCTGGGGACCCCCAGTTACAGTCACCCAAGGATAAGGGTGTTTTGCCTCGGTCCTACCAGGCAGTTTTGGGAGCCTTCATCCCTATCACAGTGTGGCAAAGCAAGGTGCTGTGGGTGGAGAAGCCCCCGTGTCCTGCCTGCAACTGAGTCCCATCACTGTG